TTGCGTTATATTCTGAAGTACATTTATAAAATGTTTAATTTGTGCAACTGATGAAGCCTGTTCCACAAGAGTAAGTTAAATTATAAATATCCATCGTTGTAGCGAAAGGTGGAAATTTATCATTCATGAATGATAGACCAGTTAAGGGAAACAGTATGAAGCTTTGCTGAGTAGAAAGATTTTATCAAAGATATGAAAAATTCGTTAATTGAAAAATTATTCAGCAGTATTTCCTTTAAATTCGGTTTCCTATAGAACTTTCCATGGCCATTTGTTTGTAGTTCTAGTGTTCAATTTCCACTAGTGAATCTGGATGTATAGACATTTCTGATGTTCATTTTTCAAAGTTGAAGTACCTAGTCGTCCATATTCCACATATTTGTCTGATCCTCATTAACAAAAAATGATTTAAAATTCGCTTTCTGAACAATGAAACATAGATTAAGAAGTCCGTATGCTGATCATTCCATGATGGTTTTATGTATAAAAATCTCTTCATGGAGCGATATAACGTTCATTCAATAAAGCATCAACAAAATTAAATTTCAAAGGTTTAGTCTTAAGATAACAAAACTAGATGACCTAAAGCAGTCATATAGATCACAGGTGATGACAGATAGATTTTCGTCAACATCTGTTCGGCTTTCTTGCTTGCATTCTTTTAACTGATCTTATAAGAGAATTTATCTGCTACTGATGACAGAAAATAACTTGGTAGCATAGACCTGATTGTCCAAGCGGACAATACCAGAGATCGTATTCGGTTGACTAAGCACCAAGTCATAATTATTCAAAAGACTGAGTAGTTGAAACGTATGTTCCGTTTATCGTAATTGCTTGCAAGCTGATTTGAGATATCTACAAAAGTGGTTTTGAATCATTAAAAGTCCTTACTTGATACAAGGGTAAGGTCATTTGTCTAGCGAACTAAGCTTACCAAACGGACCTTGGCGTTGAGTTTACTTACTTTTGTTGAAGTATCCCAAAATTTAGTGTTTAGTGTTAGTTCTGATGGATGAATGGCTATTATAAATGATAATCATTTCATTAATAATTCCTGTATTCACCTGAATCCTGAGAACATTATCAATTTTTAACATTCATATGTTACCACCATCGAAAATGACAGTAAGAACTATAGGTTTTACTAAAATTTCAAGATACTTTTTGATAAGGTTGTATTTTATCCAATAAAAGATATTATAACTTAGAACATATTACTAATTTGTATAGGCCTATTTATAATTATTTTTAGATTTGGTAGTCCATCATAATATGGATGGACGTTTTGTCGTTTAACAAAGTTTTTTAAAGATCAAGATTACAACATGAATATGCATAGGACACTATGTCATTTTCAACTAGTTGATAATTGGACAAAGATGATACCAAAGATTATAAATTAATTCTTAGAAAACAGTTGTCATAATTAAATTCACTTGTTTTACTTGTATCTTCTCATTGTTATTTAGGACTTAAATTGACCAGTCTCATGCCTTGATATAGCCTTAAGTCACAAGCTTTTTAAGCAAAGATGGATAGTAGCTAGCAGTAGAATCCAGGAGGCGCGTTTTGTATATGTAGGCATAAATAGGACGAGACGCCCTTACTGGATTCCACTGCTAGCTACTAACCATGTTTGCCTAAAAAGTCGTCCCAATTGTTTTAACATTCAGATTACCAGATTCATTATTCGAATAAACTGTTTCTGTATAGGTTATGTAGTGATCTATTCTTATAAACATTTCCATTTAATATTATTGTAGAATTTGATTATTTTGAATACTTAAGACAAAATAATTAACATTCTTTTGTTGACGATTTCCTAATTGTGTTTATGGATCTACTAACTAGTAGTCTGATTATTTGACGATAATGTACAATAGTGATAACATCTGTAAAACCTATCAAAATGCTGAAATTCATAATAATTATATCAATCATATAAACCTGAGGTCAAGGCTAAAACTAAACGCAAAGAAGGATATTTCAATCCCTGATAATTTAATTGCAGAGTAGTGTACAAATTTTTTAAAGACCCTTTATTATAAATATAATAAGGCAAATAAATATGTTGAAACGTTTCAGTTTGAATGAATTGCATGTGGTATACTATATTCCTTTAATTTAGCATGAGTATCAGATTTTTTTCAATCCATTTCAAATAACTTCGTTTAACAAATAAAAAAAGTGTCATATTTCTATACGGAAGTATTAATGTAAATATTCCCAAAAGCGTAATTTCCTGTATAAAAGCCCTGAAGTCGTGAACAATCTATAGTAACTTTGTGAAGCGTAGTATAATGAATACATATGATCAGATAATTAGACATTAATGAAGATATGTATATATTTAAAAAAGACTTCAGGAAATATGTCATTTTAACGAATCATTGAACTTTTCCCATTCTTCCATCATATTCATTATGATCTTAAGTTCTACTTATTTAAGATTTTGTTTCACTGATGTATGGAAATTAATATTCTGGTTGCAAAACAAAATCTTAGAATGGAAAGATTTATCTCCACATGAAAGATTTCTTAATATAGAACGTTAATGACATTAAATAAACAATGCTCCCTAACTTTATTGTTTACCGCCAATGGAAAAACTTTCATCATATTTCCTCTTAGAATCACATTATATATATATACGGAAATCACGAAATTGCATCACGAGGCAAGCCCTGACTTGGAATCATGAAGGGAAGCGGAAAAGAAGGCCAAAAAACACACTGTGTCGGAAAATAGAAGATATGAAACACCTGGAAAGGATTACCTAGGACAGGGTTGGATGGAGAGTGCTGATGGGCGGCCTATGCTCCTCCACGAAGGGTAACAGGCGTTAATTAGTAAGCAATATATATATATATGCTAAACGCACTATTTCAAATAACTTACACTGGATGTCAAAATATGTAAATCATCAATTCGAACAATAAATAACACAAATTATTGAAACAATTTTGACTTGCTAGTTAAATACTTATTATTGTACCAATACTTATATTCATACTAGATTACTATCTTACAACATATCACATTATCAACATATTATCCCGCGAGCGGGATCGTTGATGCGCGCTGCTGAGGGGTCCCACAATAGAATGAAACGACCGTCCAAAGCTTCCAGGTTTCCAACAGTGGTCTAACATCAATCGGTTCATGATCCTCAATCAAAGAAATATTAATAATCTCCACAACCCCTATACTGATATTATGATAAGTTAGTAACTCACATAGAATAAATAATTTAAGGTAATGTCAAATGGAATCTTTTGCAAATAGAATCATAACTAGAATTTTTAAAAGAAATTTATACCGTTCAAACTTAATAAACTATTGATCTAATTGTAAATATTTAATTATTCTTTTAATAATATAAACAAAACAATCGGTAAGAAATAAAATAAACAAAACATAATCAAATACAAATATTCTCTTTATTTATTATTCATTTTTATTCATAGATAATCCTATACAAATATGTATATATATATATATATATATATATATATATATATATATATCACAACTAAAAACTAATTATCTCTTTAATGTCCCTTTTTTTGTTGATTATTTCTTATTAAAATTCTGTGTTAGTAATGAAAAATGATTGTGTCAAACAGAAGAGAGGAGAGAGAGAGGGAAGGAAAGAGAGAGAGAGAGATGGAGAATAATTGTGATTGATTGTCCATATGTATTCATTTGTTACAGGTTAAAATTGATAGAGTAAATAGTAAATCTCCAGAATAATTGTACTATTCATTATTAATAATCATAATTTGTTTATATTCAATATTGAATTCTATATTGTTATGTTTGTGCTGCTGATAATGAAAATGAAAATTATGATAATGTTATTATCATTATTATTATTATTACTATTGTTATTATCATTGTTGAATTTCTCTAGGGTCTTGTTTTCCTTTTAGTCTTGACAACAACATCAAGAATGATGCTGTGCTGTAGTTTTGTTTTTGGTGATCAAATTTAAACCATTTTACTTTTAATTAATACAAAGACTATTGATGTATTATTCTAATCGACAATTCTGTTCTTTCCCTTTCAATGATAAATATTTAATGAATAATAAAAAAAACCCAACGAATAAAGGTACATTAAAGAAAATGATGTACATTATAAGGTGAGAAAATGTCATGTATATATCACAATATTCATAGAAAAAGAAAGAAAAAGTGTCTGTTGGAATATTACGTTGTATTGTTCTTCTCTTTTTTCTTTTGCTTTTCTTTTTACCAAAAAAAAGAACGAAAATAAGGAATAACAATAATTGATTCAATGGACAAATCATTTATAATACTTAATACCTTCTTTATTTAATCATTCATAAATTTGATTGATAATAAAATAAAAATGTAAAAGATTGAAAATGAAACTAAAATAGAATACAGCAACAATTATTCATCACAGTAAGCATAATTAAATTATTTATAAAGACAATGAACCCAGTCAAATGAAACTAATGCATGTATACTTATATATATATACGTGTTCACAAAATTACAATGAGATGGAATAGTTTCGGTTATGGAAAGAAAGAAAGAAAAAGAAAACAAACAAACAATCAACTACATTTGGAATGGTAATTCATTTTAAAAGTAAAAACAAGATACAATACTAAGAATTTTTTAAATGTCACAGTAAGAGAATAAGTCATTATCAAATAGTCTTATATTATTATTATGAATTCATTACATAATCCGATAATTCTTTATTAATGTTACATATATGGTCTATTATTATAAGTAATAATATTATTTATCTTATAAATAAACCATATAGAATAAACTAATGGTGTTATTGAAAGTTTTAATAAGTCAAACATAATTCATAAAACTTTGTTAAGATATTGAAATAAGTTAACATTCCGGAAGCTCTATCAATCATAGTTAATATGCAATTCCTCTTTTAAACGTTCTCAATACTTATAAAGTATATTCATTGATATAATGTTTTTTTTGAAAAAAAAGTGTTTAGTACAACAGAATCAATTCAAACTAAGTAATATGGATAGTTATATATTGTTCTTTAAAACGGTTTTTTAATTATATTTTTTCTATATGATTTCAGTTTTATTCAAGAAAGAGAAAAGATTTCTTATTGAAAGGGATTGAAAAATAAAATTCGATTTGAAAATAAAAGGCAACCTTTTAGTTTGGATTAAAGAGAAGAACAAACTGAAGTAGTGGCAAGTAAGAATATTAACAGAAACGTTGCTCTTTTTAAAAAAAAACACAACATAAAATATACTTCCTAACCGAAGCTGCCTTCTAAAAAAACAAACGAAATAACCCACAATAGATAAATTGGCTGAAATACAAAAGACAATAGTAGTAGTGCTAAAATCAAGAAAAAAACGATAATAAAAGTCAATAAGATTAATTGAAGATGATCTGAAAAATATAAGAAAGACAAAAATAAAGAACTAAACATGTCATGCTGCAATAATTTCAAAGAAATTCAGTATAAATATACTGTAAACTAAACTAATAGAACCTAATGACTTATATCACACACAAAGTTTTATTGGTTTTCATTAAAGAGAGAGGGGGGAGGGAGAGAAAGGAAAATTTGACATGATTAGCTCATTTGAATCCAATATAAATTTGATTTGTTTTATTTCTATTACTATCGATTATCATTTAGTTACTATTATGGTGAAAATGGTAACAAACAAAAGAAAAAGAAAACACATTGTATATTCACAATTATGTATGCAATAAATTAACAAAATTAAGAAGAGGATTCAATAAAGTATAGAGATAGTGAGAAACATGCACAGCCTGCAATAGATTATGAATAGTTTACCAGTTAATTTTTGTTTTTTTATCCTTCTTTTCTTTTTTTAAAATTTGATATTCAATTTCATTTTTGATCTGACATAAAAGAATTAACTGAACACGATGCTGGTGTACCAACATTATCTGAAGCCGTTTCATTTCGTTCATCAACTATTTGTAAAATAGGTTCATCATTTTCTGATTCTGAAAAATGTGTATCATTAATTTCAGATTTTGACATTTCTATACAATAATTAGAATCATATTCATTTGTTATTGAATTTGTTGTAGGTGCAATAGAAGTAGTAGTAGTTGTTGTTATAATATCATGATTATGTTTTTGCAATTTCCCAGTTGAATTTAAACGAATTGAATTATTTGTTCGACTTTTAAGTCCTAATAGATTATCACATTCTTCTTGGTCATTTGTACAATTTCTATGTGATTTTAAAGATTCTTGCATAATTGGTGAATTTCTTAAAGGATGTTGTCGACTTCTTTGATTATTAGCAACTCTTCTAGCTTGAACACATACATCTGTCATACATAAATTAATTGATCCAGTTTTTAATTGTGGATGTCTTTGACGTATAAATACTAAAGATAAATAAAAATAAAACATTTATCACTAAATTTTATCATCACTTGTAAACATCGCATACAGAAAAGATGGAATGCGGTTAGAATTCATAACGCACGTTTCGCCTTATGACTGATAAAAATTCAGTAAAAATATTAATAATCAGATAATTCAAATCACCACAAATAAGATTGCATTTTTTCGGTTTGAATATACACATTTGATTTAGATTATACTTGTACTGGAAGTCAATTAAAAACTAAAATACCTGATACTGTAGTAAATAGAACACGGGTGGGGACAATCGAATGTATTTTACACGAAATTACAGGACTTGTTAATAAAATGTAATAATCATAAAGTAAATGCTTAATTTGCAAAATGACCATCAATTGTCTCAGAATGACGCAGACTTCATTGTTCTTGCATTTTCATACAAATTGCATTTCGTTTCCATTCTTTACTATCCGATCCTCTTGTCTCTCTGCTACCAGACATTCTGTCCCTGACACCACAATACAACCTCACACTTTATTAATCCAACCTGAAAAAAAAAATACTGACACAACTTCACTTCTTGTTTTACTTATCCGACTATATGAAACTCTGCAAAACTTTCAATAACATTCAAGTATTTATCTGAATTCCTTATTAATTCAGTACAAACAAAGTCTGATGGTTGACTATTGAGTATTATCAATCACTTATAAATAAAGTACATATTCAAATATAACATTTCTTATCATAAGTTTTGTAATTTATCATTTAATCAAACGAAACTATATCATTGAGCAAAATAGTTTAGTTCATCATCAATGAAAAAAATGACAATGACATGAAAAGTATAAAATGCAAAAAGAAAAAGAAAAAAGAAGAAAAAAATGAAAATAAAGGAAACAACAATAATAGAACTACATTAAAAAGTTAAATTTATTTGTGTTTATATAATTTTCTAATGAAGATAGCTTAATTGGTTTTATTATCCAATTGTTGTTGTTGTTCTGTTCTTTTTTTTATTTTACAGGAAATGAAAGAAATTTACGGATGTAAAGAAGTGAGATGGAAATCTCATGTAATTTTAATCATTATTCAAATTGTGCGTGTTCTTTCTTCTTGTAAATTATTTTTATTTTGTTACTGTTTATCATTATTTCTGTGTTCACAGTTGTTTATAAATGAAAAATTAAAAAAAAGGAGGGAGGGGGGAGTGAGATTGTATAAACAATGGTATATTGTGTATATCGGCTTATGAAGATAATTTCTTTCTGTTTTATTTTTCGAAAAACCATTAAGACTTTTCTTTTTTCTATATAAATTCATCTTTGATCAAGAAAGTTAATTTATCTTTTTGTTCATAAAAAAACGATATGGTATGATGAAAGAGACTTCCGGAATGTTAATTAATAAAAACATCAAGATTACAGTTATAAAAGAGATTTTTAAGTTTGTCCTGTATAATCACTATACAGATGGGTATAAAAAATGAAAAAAGAAAACGAGATGAATTTACTTAAGGGTAATTAGATCTGAACTATTTTTTGAGCATTCACTAATAATATTTCAAATGTTTCAATTGTAATACAAAAATACCAAATCCTCATTTATATAACAATAAAGAGGTAAAGTAAAATGGTTTATATTTTCTAGTATAATTAAGTACAAATTGATGTAAAAATGTAGTAACAACAGGGAATATTAAAACAATTAAGATCATTATTATTATCAATTAAATATAACACTAGCTCATGTTTAAATAAGATTTAAAGGGTAGAAATGAATAACAGTGAATATTCTAGTATAGGATGATATTTTATGAGAAATCATGCCTATAAATTAGTTACTACTACCTATCACAAAAATACATTGAATTATGTTAGTTGATTAGTTTAATAGATGTCATCATCTTGTAGAACGTAAAATAATAAAAACTCTTCTTCTAAGCCACAAATCTTCTTTATTATCTTAATATAGGCTATTGTTATTAAATGATTAAGTTGAGGGAAAACAATGCTGAATTTACTATACACTCCTTCAAACTACTTACAAGTACTGTATGCTCTTGACTAGAAATTAAAGTTATTTTCTTCTATTTTATTAAAACTGTGATCACTCTCGAAATAATTAATTAAATCAGTAGCTACAAACTGTGTATATAAGTAAATATTAAAAGGTTATAAAAGATATCAATCTTGAACCGCAAAACAAACAATTTCATATTCCAAAAATCAATGACAATACGTGGTATGAAAAAAACCGGTTCTCATGTTTATAATTGTAAATGGCTAATGAGTTAATTTAATATTTTATTCTAACTCTCCATAAACCTGATCAACCATAACATGTACGAAAGGGATTTCAGGTAAATACTTTAAATACCAAATCAATACAGAAAATGCTATTACATTAAGAATTTCATAATATTTGTTTAGTGTATTATACATGCAACATTTACACCTGATTTCATCATTGTTTTGTTTAAGCTAAGAAAGAATATTCTAATTTCAAAGTATAACTTTCAGAATGTTCAATATTCGCTTCTTTTCATTATTATTCTTCTTTTATTTTTTTACTTTAAAGTATAGAAAAATAAATGAATGAGAATTAAATACCATCTGACGTATAAACTAATTGTTCAATGAAGCTGAAACTAAAAATATTATAGGTTATTCATCTTATTTAAACAAAGCATTGGCGTTTTACTCATGTATATTATTCACATGGTTAACTGTACAATCATATATTTTATTAAACTAACCTATGTATAAACCATATAAAGTTGACTAATATCTCAATTTCATACACATAGTTCCCTTTGTCATTTTAAAAAGAGCAAGAACAAACATTCTAGCAGAATAAAATGAATTCATTTTTATTTCGTTGGTTCTCGTCAGCTACTCACAACTTGTGATATTTAAACATCATAATTACATAATGAGTTTAAATTACCTACATGGAAGTGTTTGATTGGAAGTTATATTAAAGATATATTCGTATTGTATAACAAGGGTGTAAATAAATATAATAGACTGAATATTGTAAATATATACCTTATGTAAAAGAAAATTGTGACAACAGTTCAAATGGCTAGAAACAAGTAAACATTGATAGGAATAAAATAAGTAGAGTTCAGTTGATAAAACAAGATTATTAATTTGGAAGGTAGTTGGGATAAAAATCAATGATAAGTGCAAGGAAGAGTTTAAAGAAAAAGAAAAAATATTAAGATACAGCGAAAGAATATTAGTCACCAAGGCAAGGAAAGATTAATAACTATCTCCTTTTGAACACACAAATCAGATTTTTGGCGTCTGATAGCAACTGCTTCAGCAAACTTCAGAAGACCGGAGTTTGGCTGCTTACTAATCACCTTGAATGATTGTGGGGTATCGACATGATGTCCTGTATCAGAGAGTTGTTTGGTAATTGCTCTATTTAGAGTCTTTCCTTCTCTTGTTCTGAGGCTTTATGGAACATGTTCAAAAAATCTGAGATATGCCCTACTTTCTGTTTGGCCAATGTAATATTCATAGCAAATAAAAACTTTCAACAAGTCAATGGATGTTAGAACTAACAACTACTAAACAATACCAAGTGCATGAACAGTTGTTGAACAATCATAATATGTCTAAAATTAATTTAATAGTTGAATTCGTGAGTCAATTAAAGCTAGACCACCATGGAAAACCTGCAGGCACTGGGCGGCCGTTTCGTTCTAGTATGGGACTCTTCAGCAGTGCGCATCCACGAGTATGTTCACTGGATTCAAACCCAGGACTTTCGCTCTTGAACGTAAGCGCTTAACATCTATATCGCAGAGACGGCATCCAACGGTATTAATCTTTCACTTTAAGCAATCCATGAAATGTCGCGACCATCTTCAATTGTCTTTGGTGAGTAATTGTCTTACACCTGACACAGTTGAACTTTACGGATCACGGCTTCTCACCGGAACTCCGAGAACTAATTCCCGAAACTAGTTACTAGTGAGCACATGATAATTATCAGTATAGGGTTGTGGAGATTGTTGGGGTTTAACAGACCGAAGTTTTTGGTTTCGAATCCAGTAGGCGAGATCTTGGATGCGCACTGCTGAGGAGTCTCACACTGGAACGAAACGGTTGTCCAGTGCTTCCAGGTTTTCCATAGTGGTCTAGCTCTAATTGACTCACGAATTTGACTCGATAATTTCCAGTCTTATTAGATAACAAATACCGTTTGTTACACTTAGAAAATCATTACAACAAAGCAAATTTATTTTACTATACAATAGTTTAAACATATCCGACATAATGAAATCAATAAAATGAATGTTTCCAATGTTTTTACAATGACTGTCATAATCTAGATTGTTGTAACTAAAAACTAAACAGATAATCTTTATCTCATTCTTAAGTACAGACACAAGTAATTTGTAATTCAGTTAATGTAATAATGAGATAAACACATTTTGGTAAATAAAAATACATTGTTTACAAACAAACAAACAAAAGTATATTCTGATAGAAATCCTTCCGATTTGATTGAAATGAAATAGCATACCTAATTTAATGAGTATAGTTTAGACTGAACTTTCATAATAAATCTGCTTACAAAAATGCTGTCAGTACAATAATCTGACTTTAAAAATTACCCTTGTTAAATGTAAAACCTAATATGGAATAAACAGTATTAAAAGTTGTTGTTGTTGTTTTGTTTTTTTAATGAAGAAACCAAGAACGTAGGTGCTTTAATTTTACAAATACCGATATACGTGTTTAATAAAAATAATAATGAGAGGTTCAATGGATAAAATTTTACAGTATATATAATTGCATGTGAACAAACTCATTAGAGTATTTCAACTTTACCGCCATAATCAAATTCCTTATCAATAAACTGACAGTATTCATGATTTATTTGTAACTAGTTTAAGAACACATTTATTATGGATGATATTATCATGAAAAGTCTAACTATTGTTATTAGGTTAAATGAACTAAAAACATATTGATTAATAAACAGTAGTTTGTATGAGTCTATAAAGAGTCTGGAACACTGTTAAGCCCGGTGTAATGTGACGTAATCTGAAATGATTATATATCTTTAAAAATATAGGTTGAATAGAATAAATTAAGTGAAAATAGATGTTTGACAAGAAATCTCAAGAAAAAAGAAGCATTAATGTCAACTACAATATTACGAGTCTTGGTGTGCACCATAAAACAGTAAGTAGACTGTAGTCAGAATGACAAAATCGACATTCATTTAGTTTGTCAGATAATCATAATCAAAGTAGAGCCTGGAATAGGTATTTATTAGTACAGTTTACTACACTGGATTGGTATAACCAAATAAAAATAACAAGATCAACTCCGTCTTCTCATTGTTCTATCGAAATTTATAAAAGGGACTAATTGCTTGAAATAATATAGTAACAAGGATGATATAAAAGACTAAATATTTATGTTTTTCTAAAAGACGGAGTTGAAAGATGTATGTGAGAAAATGCTGGAATTTGACACTGAGAAAAAGATAATAATTGAACGAGTCTACCCCACTATGAACCATTCTGAGCCACTTCACCTAATATTTTCAAGCAGTGACTGTAGTTCGAATCTGTCTATATAGCTCAAACCCATGCTCAGTGACTTCATGAAGCTGTGGTATGTCTTGATTCGGACTCTGCTAGGTCTCGTTTAACCTAATTCTATTCCGACAGACATCGCCTGTCACGAGTGTTATTAGGCTTTAGTAACAAGTGTCATAAACACCTCAGTCAATTAAAACTCATAACCACATCAACCAATCCGACACCACCTAGTATCTTATCCCTAACCTCAACATTGAACACTTTGTCGTTCCACAAAAACGAGTTATATTTCGAAGATCGCTATTATTAAGAACTTACAGTCTAAGTACTTCATTTACTTTCGTAGTCTAAGTTTCACACCCACAAAGCTATAGAAGACAGACTGCTGTCAAGTATACATCCCATTTCACTGGTAGACAAACATCTTGTGCTATATTTGTCCCCACTGAGTTTTATTATATCGAAAATACGAACTTGTTTATTGTTAGTCGCATTAAGAAATAGAGTGAAGTTGATTTAGTGGCTAAATAGTACTGAACTTTTCTCAAGATTCTCTGTCTGCTCATGGTTGCTCAAAGCACTAGAAACTCAATTTTTAACAGAAGATAGCCGTCCTATAATGTATGGACTTCTGCATTATCTTACATGATATAAGCCCCTGATGACAACTGGATTCAGCAAAAATAACTAGGTAATAATCAAAACGCAATATACTGTACAACTAGCGAATAAATGCTTATTAACCATTAGCCAGAAAATTACAATTAAATTCGCAAAAAGCTCATGCCGTCTTAATATGGACGGTTATTATACATAGATGTATATTTGTTTATGGTATAGAAAGATTTGTGTGGATAATTTAATTATCATAAATTAAATCACAAATCGATCTTAGTTAAACCACTGTTGAAAATCTGTAAGCACTGCACGGCGATTTCGCTCTGTTCTTGGACTCCGTAGTACTGTGCATTCACGAGCCTGTGATTAATAGTCGAACACAAATGACTAAACCTTAAACCACTGAATCGGCATCCAATTGTGTTAATGCTTAGTCTTAATCAATCCACAACATTGCTTAACCCTCGTCTATTGTCTGCGGTGAATAATTGTCTCACACTAGACATAGTTGAATTCCACTAATTTCAACTTCTCATTAGAATTCTATTAATTGGATTTTAAAGTTAATCAGTAGTTAGCATATGATTATTGTTGATATAGTGAGATGTATGCAATAACTATTTAAAATGATTAATAATAAGTTATTAGTGAGAAATTCATCCAGTGCAAAATCAAACTAAACTAGTAAATAACCATGATTTTCAAATGATAGGAATCAAATAATTATTACATAACGTTAAGGACAAAGAATCATTTTCTTTTCAAGTGCATCAAAACAATTTTTTCAACAACAAAAAAAGCAACTCAAAATTTACATACACACGTACATATTAAAAGTATAGTTATGTAGTATTATTTTCTAAGTAAGATATTGTTACATAAAAGAGAAATAAATGAGAGAGGACTAAGAATAAAAAACCTTATGACTATTAGTAAGAAAATAACAATCACCAACGACTATTACTGATATTACCAGTATAATAATCATATAGATATAATTACATATTTAATCATGCTGTTAATAAAACTACATTTATTAATGAACTTAAAGAGGATAGTGAAAAAAAGAAATTGTAAAATGTACTTTTATTCTTTCATTCTAACTAACCATTTAAAAATGGTTTTATAGGTTGTTCTGTACGAAATAATCATAAGGACAGAATAATTAATTTGTTTGTTTTTTTGATGGATTGTATCATATTTTGTTGTCATTATTTAGAATCAAAATAAATTGATGGGAAAATGATGGGAAAGAGAAACTGAAGGAAACTAATTTCGATAGTTATTATTTATTTACATACAGAATACAAACTTTTGTTTGTTTGTTTTTGTTGTTATTTAATTTTGACTTAACTGTTTTAGATTACGATAGTTGTCTTGACTGCTAAACTGCAATTCTTAAATGATAATTATGAAGGAGAAAATAACCACGTCTCAAATAATGGCTCAATAAAATGTTTCATTGTGAATGTAGGGAGAATAAACTCCAAGCACACTTTGAAAACATACATTCATAAAACATTTAAAAGTAATATTAACATATACACCTTTTCTGATTAGTTGTATTTGACTTATTATCAACTATCATGTTTTTATTATGGTGGCAATGAAGATTTTTGAATTTCATTTAAATCGTAAACCAATCTAAGTTAGACCACTGTTGAGTACCTGGAAGCACTAGACGACCGTTCCGTCTTAGTATGGGAGTCCTTATCAGTGCATAAACATAGTCTGGCATACATGACCCCAACTCAGCACCTTCGATGTCACGCGCAAACCCTTAATCTCTAGACCAATGAGCTGGAATCTGATTGTAATAATGTTTAACCTCAATCAATCCACAAAATTGCATGACCAGGAGAGCTAATCTGTTTCAAGTGTGGGGCAGTTACCTACCGAAGGCAATGGAAGATGATCATGCAATGTCGTGGATTAATTGAAGTTAAAGACTAGCACTGTTGGATGCAGGTTCATTGGTCTAGAGGTTAAGTATTTGCGCACGAAACCTAAGGTACCAAGTTGGAGACCCGCATGAGGAATCGCGATTACGTGCTGCTGAGCAGTTCCATACTAGAACGGAACGACCATCTGGTACTTTCAGATTTTACACGGTGATCTTAGATCGGTTTATAATTTCAATGATATTATGTTTCTAGCTAACTTTTAGTAAAATGGATTGTCTTTATGTCTTGCACAAAATACTTTAGTGGGAGATTTTCTGAATACTAACTTAAAACGAAGATGGTAATTTTCATGAAAGCTTTCCTTAATTGATATCATTTAAATGGGCTAGAATTACTCCATTTCAAGATTCTGGTTAATTTATAGTTTCCACAATAAGTATTCATTCAAACAATCTTATTGTTTACTATTGACAAACTTGTATAAAATAAGATGGTTTAAGAACACATAGATCATCTTTTAATTGCACTGACCTTAGAAACGGAATGGAATCAAAAATATTTATACTGTGAAAGAACCGAAGAATAACTACTAAAAATACTGCTTTGGTTTTAAAGTAATTTATTGTCCGTTTAAACTAAGTGACGAAGTAAGAATTCATTTAAGAGGGTTTACTTGTCTTAACCCGATTAACAATTATTTTTAATATATCTTATTTGAAAACTAAGCCAAGTACTTGATTTTATGATGTCTAGTATTGGCTAATTTAGTTTTATTAGATCCCGTCTTTGAGTTACTGATATTTTCTCAATATAAGTTCGTTCAACTTTAACCAGTTTGATTGTTTACAATATTCTTCTCCAAATGATTCAGCTGCTGGTGAAATTTTCGATAAAAGTATATCTCAAACATTATGATTTCATGTAAATTTCATAGTTTGGAAAATATTAGAGGTTCGTTTTTGAAACAAAAAGTAACAGGAATTCGACGAAATCAACTTCCCTGGGTTATATTAGCTATGAAATTTTAGTGAATTTAGTTATAAATGTAATTTTTATTATTCATAAGAAAGGAATGGATAGTTTACTTACTTTTAATTGCTTCCGTAACACTTGGTTCTAGGCGCTGTTTATAAATACCTTCACCAGATAATGATGAAGCAGCCAATTCATCTTGTGTAAAAAAACTTTTCATCAGTAATCTGATTAATCGCGTAGCACTTCCAGATGATTTTACAATTAAACTATAAAATATATCTTTGGATAATTTCACATTTGGATGAGCTTCAGATAGTAATATTTGACTCTATATCAGAAAAGAATAAGAAAAAAACTATTGATGTCATTGTCAGAAGACAAGAGGTTACTTAATCTCTAAAATAAACTATTACTTACCATGATTCTAGAGATTTAATTATATTTAAATTGATAGGCGTTTGAAGAAGTCACTTAGTTCAAACACACATTAGTTCACAACATATCAGCTAAAGCCTAATATAATACCTACATCTTGCTGAACAAATATCATCGAATTAAGGATTCAAAATATTTTCGTAAATCGTCTTCAAACATAAGATACAAAATAAAATCAATCATGATGTCACAATAAATTTTTCTAAATATAAAATTCACTTATTTATTGAATGAAAAGTATTGGTTTAGTTACCGATATGGCTGATTTTAACCAAAATTATCGACCAAATCTCATTAATTACATCCATGAGTTCGTTTAACTTTGATATGCGAATTCATTTTCTTGGCTCATTTTTGATTTCTTTTAGTCATTATGTAATCGAATTTTTAGTAAATCTATAAGTAATTTATGTAGTCAACTGGAAAAGTTGATTTTTTTCGTAATGTGAAATAAACATTATTTCCGCCTAATTTCCAAACTTCCTGATAGTTGATTTAAATAATGTCATTATGAAATAACTCCGAATATACTCCAAATAATGTACTCTTATAAATTTCCAAAGCTTGCGTTATAAGAATTATGGTAAAATATAGTCATACGAAATCAGTGTTTTACAAATATGGAAGATAAACTGTTTAGTTTAACTGCCAATATTACATCTAGCTTAATAAATAACTGCTTTTTAAATAAGGGATATATTATATCCTACTAACGAAACAACTCAGTCTAGTCATGTAATCAACTTAAGCATTATTTTCACGATAAAAACTAGTCAATAAACAGATATTATGAGTAGTATCCTAGTCCAGCCATAAATTAGAATTACTCAATAACAATCTTATTAATTAATCACCATTTATTTTAATTTTTTTACAAATGTCACTGTTAATATTATTCCGTAGAATATTTCACCTAAAGAGATATACTTGCATGTTAATAGATGTATCTGTTTTAGTAAATTTCACTTGTTAAAAACAGTTAACTCTTTTTTTATTTTATACATCTTTCTATTGTCTTTATGTGTTGTATGTTGTATGTAGTTCTCTGTTAGAGAAACAAATAAATTGTCTTCATCACAATATTGCGTGTTATATTTCTTACTGTAAATGTTGACACCACTATTATTATTATACAAGTTCTATCACTTTTTCTTTCTTTGAAATTAACTCGACTCTTTCAAACATCATACATGTTTGATTAGGAATCATGTTGTCCTTTGGATCCGTGCATTATTCAAACTATACAAGTTTAGACAAACAGTGAAGTACTATTTATCCTGTTTTCTCTCTCTCTCTCTCTCTCTGTCTCTTGCACACACACACACACACACAAAATCGATACTGAGTTCCACAAATAAAATTCCATTTGTCTGTATAGTAAAAATAATCTTTTTTTTTAAATATGACATAGTATAATATCCCTACATTTGCCTGCCAGTCTGTTTGTTCTAAGAATATTAACGCATTTATTTTTTTCCTTAAAAATGAATGAAAAATAAACGCAAGTCTATCTCTTCTTACATCTCAGCTTATAAATGTGTATACAAATAATTTGTATATCACAGTTGAACAGAAAAAAAATAAGAAAACAAATTTATGAATACCAGTGCTATCGTGTTGGGTTCTTTTTTTAATAAGTTGAAATGAAATAAGTAAAAAAAAAAGAAACTACATACAAACTGAGACAAGAATAAGTGCACATTATAAAGGAGAATGATGAATTTATCTTGACTATATCAAAAAGAAAGAAAGAAAGAAAGAAGTAAAAAACAGAAAGAAAATTCTATCAAAAATGTTTTATCGTAATAATAATTATTATATTATCAATGATAAAATGAACTATATAATCTCCCCCCTCTCTCTCTCTCTCAATATATATATATATATATATAAGTCAAGACAAAATGCCATCTTCCAAAATAAATTTAATTAATGATATCGTTTGACATGATTATTATTATTGTTGTTGTTGTTTCTTCTCTATTCCTTAGAACTACTGAAACTTTACTGATATGTATGAAATATGAAAATATTGGGTGAAGGGATATTTAAACAAACACACACACATATATATATACATACACATACGCACATACACACACACAGATACACAACTACCACACGCATATACCAAATAAAATATTCAACAATAATAATAATAATAATAATAATAATAATAAAATTCGTGTTTTACATGAATTAAGATTATCAATAATAATAATCATTGGATAATAATGTAAGAAATTGAAAATCATGAATAATGAGAAACAGTTTAAGAATAAAATAATAACGGAAAAGAATTATTAACTTTAGATATAACTATGAATGTAGTCATGATATTTACTTATTGAATTGATGCTTAGTTATTCATGGATAACAAGTTAAATAAGAAATAAAAATAATAATAATGATAGTCTATATTATTTTTGATTAAACAACATATGTCACTAAGGTGTATCAGTTTAATACTTGAAAACAAAAGGTTTATTGAATAGATAAACAATCCCTCTTTTTTTAAAATTTTTTGCTTTTAATCTTAAATGCTATTGCTAAACAATATTTCAATAATAAGAATATATGGAATATTTAATAGGTAATTTAATAGGGGTCGTGGATACGCACTGCTGACGAGTCTCGCAATAGGACGAAATGGCTGTTCAGTGCTTCCAGGTTTTCTATGGTGGCTTAGCTTCAACTGAATCATGATCTCAACTATTGAAATTACTACAATCTCCACAAAACCCCCTCTGATACTAAATAAAGTATCTCAATACTATAGAAAGTTATGATGGAACTAAATATAAAATGATCATATTCACTGCAATTATTAAAATGCACACCTTTGAAAATGATTGTAATATTTTAGTAATTTTAGTTAAACAAACTATTATTTAATGTTATAATGGTCAATCTATTGAAGACAACAAATATTATGCATATATGTGAAAATTACATTTGAAATAATCTCAGTGATTGAAATTTAAAATAATTCCAACGTTTCGTCCAGCCAACTTGTCTGAACTTCTTGGTTTATTACCCTGGAGAAGTTCAGACAAGTTGGCTGGACGAAACGTTGGAATTATTTTAAATTTCAATCACTGAGATTATTTCAAGTATAAGTTTCACACATAATGACTTCTCTATACTCGGAGCTTAATTTCTGTCCAAATATTATGCTTGTTATGTATTTGTTTGGCATTCATTTTAAACGATTCCTTGTTTTTAATAATCGGGTTGAAGTAATTCTAAAATAGTCGTTAAGTGAATGTGTTTATTTTTTAAAAGAACTTCATTAAGTAAATAGTTCTTCATAGGGTAGCAATCGGTTTTTTTAAGCTTTTACATCTAGTCCCAATTGTGAAGAATGTAATCTGTTATTTAATGGTCTCAGTTAATTCTCAAGTTTTTTAGAGAATTACCTTAGTAGAATAAACAATCAAAGGGCCAAAATATAAGCCTATGATGATATTCATATATAACTCTTGTCACGCCGCATAAAAAACTAATGACTGGCGAAATGGATTTTTACTAACTATACAAAACAAATATTTTAACCATATTGTTATTGATGAATATGAAAATTTTTTTCCTTGCTAATGGGAAGTGGGCTTGGAGTTATATGTTTGAACCAATTACATTTTGTTAAGTGAAATGTTAGATAGTATTATTAAAGAGATTTTCACTAACTGTTTAATTCCACATCAATAAGGCACAATAGCTTCAACGGACTCTAGACTATTGCACTTCGAACTAAATATTAATCAAAAAATCTACCATAAAGACTAGTTTAAAATCTGATTCTGAACAAATCTTTTTCAACTTTATTACGAATATCCCTAAGACGAACGAAAAACAGTATAATCCCTATAAGAGAAAATGCAAGCCACTTATCTAGCATATATATATATATATATATATATATATATATATATATATTTGTATAGTGATGCATATTCATATAATTGTGAATATATGGTACTTTGTTACGTTTGTTCACACCAGAAGATTTTTTGTTCAACATATCATTTGTATAAAATATTACATACTGTACAAAGATTTTATGATTTTCATTGCCAAATATTACTAATATTAAAAATATTAAATTTTGTTTGTACATTGAACAATTCCTCGGTGTACTAAACAAGTATGCCAATATTCAGTAATAGATTAATTAAAAGTGAACGTATTTATCCTGAAATCACTACAGTTGTGTTCAGCAAAGCTGTAACATTATCCTAAAATACTTGTGGTCTGCGTATAAATATGCTTGATTATTAGATGTCGAATTTATTCTCATCATTTAAGGCTACTTTTGACAGAACGCATGAATATTCACTACCCATATGTATCCTCATTCGTACTCATGTGTAAACGTTCTGGCTTCTTATTTGATGCAAATGAATAATTTAAGGCTATTTGGACATGGTTCAATCAAGAATAATCATTCTGTAGCATTCTGTTGTTTCTATATTATCCATTACTATATTTTGTTGATAATTTCATTAGTTTTTATTCATGAAAAAATACATTTATAAATAGAAGAGATGATTTTTTTGAATTACAGAAAATCAATTTGTGATAAGAACATTTATATAAATATATTTATGTCCCAATAATTCTTCAATCCGTAAATCGTTACCCTACAACGAAGAGTTCATCTTATTGGGAAAGTAATTGATATTCATTACCTCGTAAATTAACTTTTACAGCAATTCACATACGCTACTTTATGAAACTAAGCCATTTTGTTGTTAACAATATCAGCTATGAGACCAACTATAAAAGTTATGGAGGTAGCGTAATAAAATGTTATATATGTATATCAATTGTAAAGCTATACACAACTTTAATCCCAAGCTCTACCTCGTTTCAAATTATATGAATCATGACAGC